AAATCATAAATGAAATACATAATAATAAGTCAAGTTCAAGTACTAGATATGTTTTTGCGAAAGCAAATTTCAGGAAAATTAACAAAGAACTTTCAAAGTTATCTTGGCCAATATATAGAGATGACGTGGAGCGTAGCGTTGAGCACTTTAATGATACTGTTTTCAATTTGTTTCGAAAGTATGTGCCAATACGTAATATTGTTCATGAAGAACCAATACAATTATGGTTCACTAAAGAGCTTAAAAAATTGAAAAATAAAAAGTCGCACTCTTTTAAACTGTATAAAAGAACGGGCTTACACAGTGATTACCTAAGGTACTCAGTTTTGCGGCATAGCTACTTTGCATTAAATAAGAAATGTTATAATTCATATTTATGTAAAATTAAGAGGAATTTAATTAACAATCCTAAATCATTTTATGGTTTCGTAAATTCAAAGCGTAAGGCACATGGTTTTCCGTCCGCTATGCATTATCGCAACACTGTATCTAGCGACAGCCAACTCATTGCCAACATGTTTGCTCGGTTCTTTAGGTCCAATTATTCTGTAGACTTCCCTATAAGTGGAGACTATCCGTACGAGCTTTGTCCAATCAACTCTGCTTATATTCCAGTAATATCTTCCGATGAAGTTTTACACTCTTTAAAAACCTTAAAAGCGTCATTTAGGCCTGGACCTGATCATATTCCGACCTGTTTTCTTAAAAACTGCGCTGAGAACATCTGCGAGCCTTTAACAACTCTATTCAATTTGTCACTTAAACATGGCGTTTTTCCGTCAGCCTGGAAGAAGTCTTTCATAATACCACTTCACAAAAACGGCAGCAGGTCGTCTATAGAAAACTATCGAGGCATAGCGAAACTCTCCGCTATCCCCAAATTATTCGAAGCAATTATTGTTAACCAGCTGACATATTCTATATCTTCTTCAATTACACAATCTCAACACGGGTTTTCTAAAGGAAAATCTACTATTACTAATTTATTGGAGTTTACAACTCATGTCTCAAACGGTTTTAGAGAAAATGCTCATACCGACGTAATTTACACCGATTTCAGTAAAGCTTTTGACAAAGTATGTCACTCGTTACTCATCCGTAAACTCGACCTAATCGGCTTTCAGCCCAGTCTCCTTCAATGGATCTCATCTTACCTCTCTGATAGAACACAAAGAGTTATTGTTAATAATTGTTCTTCCAACATCATTAAAGTTTCTTCAGGAGTTCCTCAGGGAAGCCACCTTGGTCCGATTCTGTTCCTGATATTCATTAATGATATTTCTTCTATAATAAAACATTCAAAAATTTTAATGTATGCCGATGATGTGAAACTTTTTAAAACATTGTCCTCTATCGAAGAAAGGTCTTTGTTACAAGCGGATCTGAACAACGTGGTTAGTTGGTGTAATACAAACTATATGCCACTAAACCTTCAAAAATGTAAAGTTATGTGTTTCTCTCGGAGGGCTGTTCAACCAGCTGTTTATTCAATATCAAATTATAATCTGGAGCAGGTATCCAATTTTGTCGATCTTGGTATCACAATGGATTCCAAACTCAATTTCAACCATCATATTAATGTTACAGTCAATAAAGCCAAAGCCGTTTTTGCATTTGTAAGGCGATGGTCAAAAGAGTTCAAAGATCCTTATGTTACAAAAGCTCTTTTTACCAGTTTAGTTAGACCTATACTAGAATACGGATCTATTGTTTGGAATCCCCGCTACCAAGTTCATTCAGAAAGGATTGAATCAATTCAAAAACAATTCTTGCTTTTTGCATTGCGTAATTTTAACTGGGATTCAGATTACAATCTCCCCCCTTACACAAGTCGTCTAAAGCCCATAAATTTGCCTACACTCGCAAGTCGTAGAGAAATGCTGGGTATAATATTTATCGTAAAATTAATGACAGGCTTGATTAATAGCCCGGCCCTCTTGGCTGAGGTAAATTTTAATGTTCCTTCTCGAGTGTCAAGACACTTTCGACCTCTATTTTTAAAGCCATGCAAAACTAATTTTGAACTAAACGAATCATTCCGTGGTTTATGTCAAGATTTTAACTGTCATTCCAGCACGTTTGACGTATCGGACTCGATTTTTACTATAAAGAAAACTATTATTTCCACTCTCAATAATTGAAAAACTATCTTTAGCATATCCAATCAGCTGATGAATTTGATTCTGTAGCTGAATAGTTTTAGATTTCGACACTTAACAAACTCCTGTTTCCACTACTCGGCACGAAAAAACTAAAAAAAAAAAAAACAAAAAAGTTTCCGTACGTCATGCGGACTGCGCCCCTCGTGTCGGTTGGGCGGGAATGGAGGGTAAAAAGCCGTTGGGATTAATTAATTAATTAATTAGTCAAATGCTATTTGAACAAGTGTAAAAATTGTTTATATCTTACAACATTTTCTTGCTCATCATCAGTTGAAGTTAATCCCTTAAGGCGACGATTTGCGAATTTTTAATATTTACTTTTTGGGTGTTCAGGTGAGCCAATTATTAATAAAAGTAGTGATAAACTATTAAATTATAAGTGCGGTAAAATGCAGTGTTCAAAAAGGCATTTAAAACGTCTTGTAAAAGAAAAAAAAGCATTGTATGCTCAGCAGCGAAGCGTCGATTGAAATTCGTGGAAATGGCGCCACCGGCGATTGCGCAGCGCTATGCGAAAACTTTCATATCGACGATACCAGTGCGAATGAGATGCCAAAGAAAAAAACCTTTCACGAAAAACTTGCGGCATGGCAAATAAAAAGCAGAATCCCTCACCAAAGTTTAAGGGCCCTGTTAATTATCCTCAAAGAGGAGAACTTAGACGTTCCTTTAAGTCCGTCCGCTCTTCTTAATTTAAACAGTGAAAAGGTGGTTGTGCAACATGTTCCCCCGGGGGAATATGTTCACTTTGGAATAAAAAATCAAATGAAAAAAATTGCAAATTATATTTGTCACTACGAAGAAATTGTGTTTGACCTTAATATTGATGGCTTACCTCTATTTAATAGCTCCAAAACTCAACTTTGGCCAATTTTAATAAAAATCATTAATGCTCCAAACATTTCTGTTTTCCCAGTTGGTGTTTATAAAGGCAAGCAAAAGCCAAATGATGTTAATGAGTTTTTGAGCTATTTTATAAATGAGTACCAATTGTTGAAAGAAAACGGTTTGGAATTAGGCGGACAAATATTCAGCTTAAAAATGAGGGCTTTAATATGCGATGCACCTGCTAGGGCGTTTGCATGCGGAATTCCCCATCACACATCTGCTCATGGATGTTCAAAGTGCACTGCAGAAGCGAAAAAAATAGCTAACGTCCTTACGTATCCTACAAAAGCAGGCGAGCTAATCAGTGATGAAGATTTTGCCCAAAGAAATTTTTTAAATCACCACCAAATAGGATTTCGCTCAAATAAAACTCCATTTGAAAAAATTTATTTGCGCATGATAACACAGGTTCCTTTAGACCCAATGCATTTGGTAGATCTAGGTGTAACAAAGAAGTTTTTGGTTAAAATTTTGAAAAATAAGTTGGATTTTAATATGAGGTTAACAGCGGAAGGCAAAAAAAATATATCAGATAATTTGGCATCCATTACAACCAATATTCCCAAAGAATTCGTTCGGTTGCCTCGAAGTCTTGAGGAAGTCCCGTATTGGAAAGCGACTGAATTTAGGCAATTTTTGCTTTACACGGGTATTTTAGTTCTTAAAGACAATGTTCATGATAGTATTTACTATGAGTTTTTATTGTTGCATTGCGCTTGCAGATTGTTATCCTGCCCTAAAAATGTGCATTCAAATATTTCAAATGCGGAAGAGACACTTAAGTTGTTTGTAGAAAATTTTCCAAAAATTTTCCATGATAATAGTGTCTCATATAATGTCCACAATCTACTACATTTGACTGACAGCGTTAAAACACTAGGAGTTCTTGGAAATTTTTCTGCATACGATTTCGAAAACTTTTTGCAAACTTTAAAAAAAAACGTTCGAAAACCTACACACATATTAGAACAAATTTATAATACAAATAGTCACTCTGATTTCGTGCTTGAGTCAAAAAGAATAGGTTTTGTAGAGTCAACTTCGAAAATAAAATCCTATACCAATCAGCATTATTTTTTTAGTACCAAGAGGCCAAATAATGTGTGTTTCATAAAACCCTTTATTGTTTTTAATATTGAGGGATTCGAAAAATGCGATACTAGCATGGGAGTTGGTAGGAGGTATATGAACATAAACACCTTTTTTGAAGAACCTTTAAATTCAATTTCAGCGCTAGGTATATGTTTGGGATATGCTATACCCAGTACTGAAAAAGAAATATTTCCTATTGAGGAGATCAACTGTAAAATGATGTCACTACCATACAAAGACAAATTTCTTTTCATACCAATATTGCATGGTTGCACTAATTAAAAATTTTGTTTTTTTATGAATCCCTTTTGAATACCGCAAGCGAAGAAGAAGAAAATGCAGAGCTCGGAAGTGGGAAAAGTAAAACCAGCAAAGTTTCGTCGCATGAATACTTGTACAATAATTGAAACAACACCAAATTGGAATGGTATGCTAAATATCTAAATATATAAAAACTAATTCACATACCATATTTAAATATATACTTTAATCCATATTTTAGATCGCGATGTAAATGATGGTTGCAGCAAATGCAAAAGCTTGGAAACCATGTTTTGCGAGAAATTAACTAAATTAACAGGTACATTTAATATATATATATGCATATTGTACATCTGATATCTGTGGACTATTTACAAAGTAACTTGCATCATTTTAGCATTATATATTTTCAGATAATTCCAGATAAGTTATTTTGTTAAAGGTGTACAGATACAGTCAGCGTCGAGATGTTCATATTTTTGATGCTGACTGTATGTATGTATGTCTTAACAAAGTTTTAATGGGTTTGGTTTTTCAGATTTAATAGAAAAGCAAAATAATTTTATTGTAGGTGTTCTGGCAGAACACACGGTTCTTTTAGAGAAGCTTACTAATAAAGAAAAAGGCACTGTAGCAGCTTCTTCGCGATTCCATATAAAAACCGAGGAGGACATACAAAAATTGGAAAATGAAATAAACGACAGCAACCGAGACTCTTATGTAAAGTTCATATTTTTAATTATTGTGAACGATTTGCATCAGTGATTTCATTTTTAATTTGTGTATATTGCAGGTTTCAGCAGTGCAATACCTTCTTCAAGGGGAAGTTGGTAAAAATTTTGAAAAAGTGCTGTCACGGAGTTTTTGTCTCCAATTCAACATTTATGGCATATCCGGAAAAAAATGTCTGAAGGATTTTACTGAAGTGTTTACGGTATTAAAAAGTAAGAAAGTGTTTGAAGTGTATCCTCACTTGGTATATAACTTCTATTATTTTAATTTACAGAAGCAATTGGAAAAACATCGGTCAACGCGGAAGCTGAAATACGAAAGGCCTTACAGATTGTCAAAAAGAGGCATTTCCGAATGGTTTCTTTAGGAAAATCCTAAAGTAATTAATTAACTTTTACCTTAAAAATATTATATAAGTACTTTGAAATGTGTTTTTTGTTTTTCATACTTTTGAAAGTTTTCGTTTTTGAAAAGTTTTATTGTCCTTTTGTTTGGAATACGTTAACAAATTAACTAAATAGAAATGTTAATAAATAGTTGACGTACCTAATAACTAATAGTTATAATTACAAAACAAAATAAATAAAAGTTACAAAATATGTACCTAATGTTCGAATAATTTATACATATATAAAAAATTAAGATGTTGATAGCTGTATAATAAATAAGTAAATAAATAATAATAAAAATACTAATAATAACCAACACAATCAAAAATATTAATAGTAATAATAATAATAATAGTAACAATAATAATAAAAATAAAATTAATAAATACAAAACTAAACTAAATAGAAATGTTAAAGGTTTTATATAAAACAAACTTAAAAATATGTCAATAAATGTGTAGTGTATAAAATATATATAAATAAAAATGTTAATAAATTTTTAGATAAAAAACAATTAAAAATTTTACAAATAAAAATGTTTATACGCATACATATGTAGATGTATACATAATATGTACAATAAATAATTTCATAAGAGATGTAAATAAATATTTAACATAAATAACACTTAAGAATAGCATGATGGTTAAAAAATAAATATACATGTTACTAAATAAATAATGTGAAAATAATAAATGAATGTTTAATAATAAAATTAACTACATAGAAATACATACTAAAAAATATGCAATGCGAAAGAATAGTAATGCCATCAATGATAAAATGAAGTAATTAAATATTTTTGACAAATATGAAAATAACAATTAATAAGAAAAAACATAATTAATAAGTACTAACTTTCGTATCGTTACCGTAATATAGAAAGGCTCTACCTAACAAATTTTGTCCCTTTACGGAGTAGCCTTAAAAAAAATAAGTATCTTAAGTTGAGATTTTTTTCATTACACTGGTTTTAATAAACACAGAAACTAATTTTTTGATGTACGTAGTAGATGCTTTTAAAATCGATTAAGTCTTTTGTGAGTAATCTACCGACTTTGCATAGAGCTGAAATTAAAAATAATATGAGTTAGGGCCTCTCAATATGATGAACATTACCATTACTATTATTATATGCTTTTAAGAAATAACTATAGTTTATAGTTTAGAA